TTATTGTTATTATTATTATTATTACTATTATTATTAGTATTACTACTACTATTATTGTTATTGTTATTCTTGTTATTATTATTATTATTATTATTACTATTATTATTGTTGTTGTTGTTGTTATTATTATTGTTGTATTATTGTATTTATAATTTGTACAATTAACCTCCCTATGGTTCGACCTCGGTCTTGCCGAGTTATTTATTACTTCGACACTCCTGCACTTGGGAGAAGACAACAATCTTTTCATCGTGTCATAAATATTATTGAGTGTGTTAAACTTACTAATAAAAAAAGACTGTAGATACTCTCATTAAGGTTAACACAATGTATTTTTCTTCTGATGATTTATCTTTGGCAGATCCTACTTTATATCATTCTATTATTAAGAGCTTGATATATCTCATCATTACTTGTCTAAATATTGCATATGTTGTTCATGTTGTTAGTCAGTTTGTTGCTTCTCCTACTACTATTTATTAGACAATTGTTCTTTATATTTTGTGATATTTTTAGGGTGTAGTCTTTCAGAGTTTTTTACTTCTATTTACCTTTTTTTGGAGCTGCGTGCATGCTTTAAAGTTGATCATAATGGTGATCTCATAGATCACAATCTATTATTGGTTTTTATATCTTTTTAAGTAATTCTCTTATTTCTTAGAAGATCAAGAAATAATATATTGTTTCTCAACCCTCAACCAAAACAGAATATCATCCTATGACATCTATTACTAAAGAGATTATTTGGTTACATTGGTTACTTACAGATATGAAAGTTTCCCTTTCTCATCTTACTCCTATGTATTGTGACAATCAAAGTTCTATTCAAATTGCTCACAACTCGATTTTTCATAAGCAAATTAAGCATATTGAGATCGATTGTCATCTTACTCGTCATCATCTTAAGCATGACACCATTACTTTACCTTTTTATTTTTTCTTTCTTGTAGATTGTAATTTTTTTTACCAAGTCACATTCCATTTCTCATTTTCATTTTCTAGTTAGCAAACTTTCGATGCTTGTAGTTATCACATCGTGAGTTTGAGAAGAGATGTAAAGAAACACATTTATCTTATTTTATTTATTAAGAGTAAAATAGTATTTTTAGTTTAGCCTATATACAATCCTTTTGTATTTAGGTTAAAACATGCACTTTAGAATAAATAGATTAGTGAGAATTCTAACCTACTTCTTTCTTATATTTGTTTTTTAATACACAGTGTTTGATCAAACTCCATATAACAAAGGAAGTACAAGAAAATTAATCACTTAGAAAAAGCAGATATTGTAGAGATTTTACAAACCTTTAAGCTCTACATCGCCACCATTAGCCTGGTTAACCACATCTTTGATATAAACATAAGAAATGTTAGAATCTGTAAGTATAGTCAACAAATAGCCAGCACGAGCCAATATGAAAGAAAAAAGGTACTTTATTTTGTTGAATCCTCAAAGGTCTCATTTGTATCACTTAAAAAGTGCATTAAAGCAGTCCTCGAAAACACACCACTAACAAACTGAGTCCCTAACACCAAGAACCCCTCGTTCCACTTCAAAAAATAAGAGGGCAACCCACCATTGAAAGTGCCTATAAAGATCAATATCAAGCACCATATCTTAACTAAGATTAAGGATTTTGAGCATATATTAATTTTTGGAGTGTCATTGGCGTTGTAACCACAATGTCTAGCTATTAGAAGAAGGAGAAAGAGAAAGAGAGAAAGGAAAAAGAGAGAGCAAGACATTGGGCAAGAAATAATGGATAGCTCTAAAACGTAGCCTAGACTAAACAAAGATTAGCATTTGTTGAGGAAATGATAAGTAAAATAGTATGAGGTTATGAAGAACAAAAGGGAGATAACTGGTATTGTAAAAGCTTGTACTGCAGAAAAAAATGAATAAATTTTGTGTGTTTGGTATTGTAATAGCTTTTGTGATTGTGGTTTGAAAAAAATTGTTTTTACAAAATAGTATTTTTAGTTGAGGTTGATTTGATATTTACATATGTTTGGTTAAAACTGTGGTTGAAATTGAGGTTGAATAAAACGTAGTTTAATATGTTTGGTTAAAAAAATATTTTTTAGATTGAGGTTATACAATAATTAATATATATATATATATATTGATGATTTTTAATTTAAATATTATAAATTTAACTATTGCTATTACATCATGAAATAAATAATACTTATATCAAATATTTTTTATTATTTCATTAAATTATATATAATTTCATCAAGTACGAAATCCATCTGATAAGAACTACAGCTTCCTTGGTTTCTTAAGTATGAAACAACATTAGATAAAATATTATCACAAAAAAAATTTGAATTGCGATCAAATTCTATATATACTACGTCATCAAGCGATCTTCTTCTAATTTTTAAAAATATAATTAAAAATTAAAATTAAAATTAAAATTTTTAACTAGATTGAATCCAGTTCAATATATTTAACTTTACATCGAAGTCACCAGAATAATAAAAAGTGACTCTACTATTCATATAAACAGTGAAATCATTCTCTACTATTCAGTTAAATAAATAGTGAAGAGTGAATTATAATTCATTTTCTATTATATAGTAAAGTAACCTCTAGGTTTGTGGAAAGCAGTTGAGAGCTGTTTTCCATAAACATGTAATTTTAGCAAAATCTACATGGATTCCATGTCAATTTATAATTATAATTGTATTTTATCATTACTAAATAGTTTAAATCTAAAGTTTATTTTAAATATTATTATAGTGGCTTAAATAAACAAATATATATTTAAAAAATATAAAATGGCTTTTGATTTTAAATTCTAGATTTGATGGTTTGATAAATTAATTAGTTTCGAGTTTAAAAATCATGCATGATAACTATGATCAAGTTTTTATAAAATAAATTGGATATAAAAGGATTGGAATTTTAGCTCATTTCCAGATATATTGAGTATGAAAAAATATTAATTTTTTTTTTAATATTTATAGTTTTGAATTACTATAATAAAAATAAATAAAAAAATAAATTATTCTAATATATTTTTAAATATTTGTTTTTTCAAAAACAAGTTTTCTTGGTCCGGACTAGTCACGTAATGCATCGGCATCCAAACACACCCAATTACATACTTCGAAGCCTTGAAACCAGCCGAACACCCCCTTTTGGCTCTTTCTCCGCCTCCCTGTATATCTCTCCGCTCGGAAAATCCACGCAGACCAAAAACCCTATTTAAACCCCGAAAACCCAAAACACAATAATCAAAACAAGAAGAAGAAGAAGAAGAAGAAATAATGACTTCAACAATGCTTCGATCTCGCATTTTATCTATCGCATCCAGAACCAATAAACCTAATCGCCGATTCTTTTGTTCAAACAAAGAATCCACCATCTCTTCTCAATCAATTACATTCGATCAATCTGCGGCGGCGGGGGAAGCACCAGCGCAGGCTGTTGGGGGTTCGGAGAACAAGGCATGGAGTTTCTTTAAATACGGAATTGTTGGAGCTCTCACTGGAGCCACTGCTTTTGCTGGCTACGCTTCTTACGGTTTGTTTTATTATATATCTATGTATATTAATTTGCCGGTTTTGTTCAGTTTCATGCTTAATTTTAAAACTTAAATTGCGGAGAAAAAGGAGGAGTCTAGTTGGGGTTTTCATTTCTATTTTTCTCCCTTGCTTTCAGCATACAGCTTGGATGAAGTGGAGGAAAAGACGAAAGCGTTGCGAGAATCAGTGAACCATACTGCTGGCAATGATGCGTCCAATGTTGAGGTAACTCTATCTGATTCATAACTTTATTTTCAATTTGATTGTTTTGAATTGATGTCATCTGTGTTATAAGATAGGTTTGGCATTATTGATTTTAGGCATAGTTGAGTTGATTTTATGTTGGTGTGCCGCTGCTATATAAAATATTTGAACAAATGAGACATAAAGAGATGATTGAGATTTCTTTATCATTCCCTTGCGCAGAAATATCAAGGTTTGCTGTACTCCACTGCAATGACAGGTGTGGTCCTCTGAATTATTTTCTATCTATATCAGTAATCATAGTGTATTACCATTAAAAGCGTTTTTACTGAATTCTGTTGTCAGTGATGCTTTGCTTGATCTTTTTTCTGCCATCCTCAACTGTCTGTTGACTGCCAAGGGATGGGGCTCTAAGCACCCCTCTAAGTATTAATGACACTCTACTTTTCTCTCTATCTCATTCTCTCTCTTTATAAATTTGGTGTTCTCATAGCCCCGCCTAATACCAAATTGCTTTTCATCAAAGCTCTTAATTTTTGCCCCCCAGTTTATAGTTTGAAATCTCAAGATTAATTCTTGGATTTTTTTTTCCTGTTATCAACGCATGCCAATTGCAGAAACATATCACACCTCTAGAATGTTGAAATACACGTCAAATCTAGCTATGGAAGGGGTGATGTATTTTTGGTAGTTAGGTTTGCATGTTTACAGACTGTTCAACAGCAATTCAGTGATGCTTCCACTCTTGCTTTGCTGCTACGTGGCAGATATGTTCTCTGTTGATAATTGTTGGCAATAGAATGATATCATTTTCTGCCTATTATATTTCAGTTCCTGCTAAAGCAGTGGAACTTTACTTGGATATGAGGAGGCTGCTGGAAGAACATGTCAAAGTGAGTGCAAATATTGTGATGAGTTCATAATTTCCATTACATCTTCATTTCATTTCCTTTATAAACAATGAACTCTGTTTGCTTCATGCAGGGTTTTACTGAACCAGCCTCAGAAAAGCTTCTTCCTGATTTGCATCCTGCTGAGCAGCATGTTTTTACACTAGTTTTAGATCTTAATGAGACAATAATTTATAGTGATTGGAAGGTAAAGCCTCTACTAGAAGTATGTAGGCTATGTTTCTTTACCGGAATTCATTTTCTGAGAAACCACTTTTCAAACTTTCATGTGTTTGTTTGCCATTAAAAAAGTTGGTTAACGGAAAACACTTTACAGTCAAAAGAAAATTTAGCTTGGTTTCTAGGAAAGTGTTTTCTTGAAAAATTTGGGCAGAAAACACTTTCTGGACGTTGTAAAAAATTTAAAAATATCATATTATTTACTGATTGTATCAAATTTGGTCTTCAAACTTTTGATTGCTATATATATTTTGTTTTGAATATTTATATTTTAATTTCATCTCCTAAAATTTAATTTTTATATTAACTTTGGTCCTCATTTTTTTAATTGTTATTTGCTTTTTGCCGATCATTTTTTTATTGAAATTTTTTATCTATCAAATTTTGTCCTCATTTTTTTAATTGTTACTTATTTTATTTGAAATAATTTATGAAATATTAATTATTATTATTTTAATTTCTTCATCTTTTATTTTTTTTATTTTTTAGATTTGATTTCTATTATTTTGATTATTATTTATTTTATTTGAGATAATTTATGAAATTATATTTTTTTTCAATTTCATTCTCATTCAACTTCTTAATTTGTAAGATTTGTTTCTCATTATTTTAATAAACTTGAGAAAAATAAAACATTAATGAGTTATTTTCCAGCTCATTTTCCATGACATAACCAAACACTGGAAAGTGTTTTTCAACTTATTTTCCATTACACTATCAAATATCAAAAAATAATTCACTTTACTGGAATTTACTTTCCAAAAAGAAACTACTTTCCAACAAACAAACGGGGCCGTAGTGTCAAACATGTCTTCAGAGTTTGCATGATAACTTGAATCTTGTATGATAGTTTTGGTATGATTATGTAAGTCATTTAATACTTCTATTTTGGTAAGTAACCAATTTAGAATGAGATGTTCCTTTAGCCTTTCTGTCTCTGTATGTTTAGTGTATAAAATTATATGTGCTTGCTGTCCACTTCTTACTTGTATATGCACATAACATTTGTATCTAGTGAATTTGTAATGATAATATTCTCTGTGCCTCCGTGTGAAGCGTGATAGAGGCTGGCGAACATTCAAACGACCTGGAGTAGATGACTTCTTGCAACATGTTGGACGGTTCTATGAAATTGTTGTGTATTCTGACCAGCTGAGTATGGTAACAAAATTCCCCTTTCCCCGTCTCCCAGTTTTGGGTAATTTTTATAATCCATAAAGTCTCTCATTATGAATTTTCCTTTTCTGGCTTCTGCAGTATGTTGATCCTGTTGTTGAAAGGTTGGATACAAACCACTTTATACGATATAGACTATCAAGGAGTGCTACCAAGTATCAGAATGGCAATCATTATAGAGTAATCTGTTATATTTGATTGCTTTCAACATTCCATTTATTTTCAACGTTCTTTTCTTTTACGTGCCTTTTAGAGTTTTCATTTAAGGGTGATGGTTTGTTTTTCAGTTTTTGCCATTATTCTTGTTTTTACTTTGACATTTGCAGCTTGTACAAGATTGTTTCTATGGTTGTTCCTCTCTCTGTTTGGAAGTTAAAATTTGTCCTCTGCATGTGCCCTGATGATGGCATTAGAGGTCATTCTAATGTTTATCCAGCTGGAAACATTGCATGGTTCTCAGTGTGTTTTTGCTAACTTAATTACATATAAGCATCTAGGTTTGATTTGTTATAGTGGAGCTGATAACTGTTCGTTAGAATGTTCTGTTAAATTAATTGAAGATGCTTATCTGCAAAACTGAGTCAGTTTGATAAAATTCTGTAACCAAGTCTATGAAGTCATTTCTCAGAATTTCAAATTTTGTTTGTCAGTATGTTTTGGGGCTTTTAGCATTCTATTCACCTTGGCATGTAACTACTAGTTCTGCATTATTCTTCATCAACTTGATTTGGCTGGGCACATGTAGAGGTTTTACAAACAGGATTTTCTTCACGTTCATTTCAAGTTTGCTTGATTTGTGAGTTACTGTAACAATTGAACTTCACCAAAATGTCTGTAAGTTGGATTTGTTTACTTGGTTAAAATTGGTACTGTTATGCTGCTTGCCTTTCTGTAAACCAGAAAGTCTCGTGTCTACAATCTAAAATAAGGGCATATTCATTCTATACAAGAAGCATTCCAAATCAGGGATGTTAGTTTCCATTTATGATTAAACTCTCATGTCCTAGTTGTGAAGCTGCTAAGTTTGTGGATGTTATAAAGAGTGCCTGAAATGGTGATTTGGAATGCAAACTCTCATGGGGCTTATAATTGTTGTTGGCCAAAGCATGAATGGGGATCTTTGGCTAGCTACTCCTATAACTGCATTTCTTGAACTGCAATGCCAAAACACACCCTAAGGATGAAATTGGAAATCAAAGTTAGAAATTCTTAGGTTCATAAGATTTAGATATAAAGTGAAGCCCCAAACAAAGGCGATGAAAAATAGTGAAGCTCTAGGCCTCGGCAAAAGTTTACAGGTGGGCTGGATTCTGGGATGGATTCATAAATGAAACTGATATATATCTACATATGAGGTGCTGTTAAGTGGTCTATGAATTTGAGGATAAGAGCTGAAACACTCTGAAGTTAGGGCCTGATATTTGGACTGGGGTTCAACTCATTAGCTGTAATTTTGTGAAAAACAGTCTACCATTGTGGGTTTTGCAAAGCTAGTGTAGCACTGTTGTGTCTGGAAAGGTTTGGTGAAGCTTTATAATTCTCATAGACCATATCAGCCAATTTTCTATCATTTGACATTATACTTTTTGTATTGCTGTGTGCTGCTACCACTCAAAATGCCAGCACCATTTAATGAGATGTGGTAATGGTGGCAACGCCTCTAAAGATTTTCACTATTTTTTATTTCACCGTGGTGTTTTATTCTTAATGTTATTTTTACTGTGTTTTTGTGAAATGGAAAAGCTGTATTTGATGTTAGTTATTGTTTGCAGGATCTTTCAAAACTTAATAGGGATCCAGGTAAAATTCTCTATGTGAGTGGCCATGCATTTGAAAATAGCCTTCAGCCAGAAAACTCTGTCCCAATTAAGCCATTTAAGACCGACGAAATGGGTGAAGTACCGCTGGATACAGCACTTTTGGATCTCATTCCCTTTCTCGAGTGTAAGTAAAGTTGAATTTCCTTTTTGCATGAGTATATAACAGTTCATTTAATTGTCCTCGTGGAATTGAAACAGTTGTGTTCTTCCCTATATAGAACTTATCTATCAATCTCTATACACGGAGCCTGGAGTAAATACCTGGGCTATTACCTTGTCTCAATCATCACCACAAGCTTTATTATTGTTAATATTTTATAAAATGTATTCCCATTTTGGTTTGCACACAGATGTTGCTCGCAACAGTCCATCTGATATCAGAAAGGTGTTGGCATCTTATGAAAGAAAAGACGTAGGAAAAGAGTTTCTTGAGCGTTCTAAAGATTATCAGAGGTATTTTACATTCTTGTCCTTTTATTTTTGTTGAATTTGTGAAATGTGAAATTCTGTGCTGAGAAAGCTGAGACACCAATGTGAGAAGTAAATTGAGTGCATGAAATAATATTTTATTTGAACGGCATTTTGATTTGCTTGAATGATGATACAGGCGGATGCAAGAACAGAGGCAGCAAGGTCGCATCTGGCATCGTTGAGGCTTGGGGTTAGTGTATGATACAGTAAATGAATTTTTGGTAGACAAGGAGATGAAAGTGAAGAGTGCCATGGGAGATATTGAAAGCACATTCCATTAAAAACGGTTTCCCTCTTAATGAGATAAGGATTGTTGAAATTCATTTCCCTGCATAACTTCTATGTCTGACATGAGAATTTGTGATTTTTGATCCCCTGCTTTTGGAGTCAGATTTCTTACAAAACTATCGAGATTACTGAAGAGATTGAGATTCACTGAGTTTTTCTTCTTCCCTGTAGCAACACTTGGATGCATGCCACTGATTTTCTAGCACTGAAATAATTGTAGTCCCACTGCCAATCTAGCCTTTCAAAATGCCTTTCTCATGATTTCTATCATTTCTATTTTATCAGTTCACATAACGTAGCCTTTGTTCAATTGCTGGAAAACTCTCTTGACAGAAAGGTCCATAACAATCTTCCATCTATTTATCTGTATATGCAATAGTAAAATGGGAGCAACTCTCTGTTTGTTCCAAGGTCAAGATTAGATATTTGATAACAAGCTGAAGAAAGAGAAAATGACATTTTTATTTATATCAATTAAAAACCCATTTTAAGTTCAGTTTAAGATTCATGTATATATATATTACTAGACTAATTCTTTTAAGGTTTTTTGTGTTTTTCAAAAATTTATGGTAGTCTAAAAATTAAATTTTGTATTGTTTGTACTCTTATTATTTTTTAACTAAGCTCTTTTTTTTTTAATAAAATTATGAAATTTAGTGATATAATAATATTTTTTGGAAAAATAGAAAATGATTAAGAATTTAAATTTAACATGCATCATCGAGAAGATAAATTATATTATATATTTTTGAAATTTTAATTACTTTTTGATATAATTTTTGGCGTATTTTTTATTTAAATCACTAAAAAAATAATTTAAACATTGATAATAAGTTGTAAAAAAGAAAAGAAGTTGCTATGAAGCTGTAAAAAAAATAAAATTGGGGTAATTATTCCTTACGGAGTGAGAATATCCATCTATATTTTTGTCTAATAAAATAGGAAGTATGCAAATACACATAATTATAATAACTATAATTATTTATAAACGAGATTATAACAATACTAGTCGACGAACCGCCCTGAAGCTCATCAGGGGTGGTTCTCAAATATAATTCTTCAAAAAAAAAAAATTGTATATAAGTATGTTATATAAAATAGTGAATTAAATTTCATTAGAATGGTGATATAAGTTTTTTCCCTACTGACGTGAATAAAAATTAAGATTTTTAAGTCTTAGATTTACAGCCCTAACATGTACAAGAATCAGAGAAAATAAAAATCTTGGATATTTTGTAAAACTTTTTATGTAAATGTTCTCAAAATAAACTATACATTCTCATTTATATTAGGTGTAGGTGATACGATTATTAATTAAAATTTATTTAACTAATAAAACTCATTTAGTATTATGTTTTTAACTCCTAAAACATTAATTAAATTTAAAATTTTAAGCTAAATAGAAAAAAGAAAACAATACAATAAGACAAATAAAACAATTTTTTTAATTAAAGGCTTTTTTAATTTTCAATTATCATGAAATTTTAACTCAATAAAAAAATAAGATCTTTAAAAAATTTTGTTGAAATTTTTTATTAATTCAATAATCGTATTATGTTTGATTTATTAAGCTATATCTTGAACTTTTCTTAAATTTCTTAAAACCTAGAAAATCTTAACAATTAAGTAAATAATAAAATAAAAATAATTATACAAAAAAATAATAAAGAAAATACCCCGTGCTAATTCTTTTTACTTGCTAAAAACTCACCCAATTGTCAAAAATTAAACTTGATCATGCTAAAAAAATAAATATTTTAAATATAATATTACAGCTAATATATTTATAAAATAACATGCATGTATTTAAATTTTAATTTATGATGCTTGCATGCTAAAGAATAATCCATATTTAATGTTATACATTTCGTTCCTATGAAATCCATATGTAATTTCTTCAAATAATCTTCTAATTCAAACTTGATCTGCTCGTCATCTATGACTTCTGATATTCTAACCTTTATATATAAAAAAGTTTTGAGATAATCGTTTATAATATTTTTATATGAATAGTTAGAAATTATTATGTTTTTATTTGTAAGATATTTATTCTAAATTTTCAGAAATTACCATGAACTAGCAAAAATAACCAATGTGCCAAACTTTAATTTTTTTTTTTAATTTAATTGTTTCAAAAAAAAAACTAACGTGTTGTCTAAAACTCTATAAAACCTAACAACTGGTTGGTTTGAAAAATATAAATGCTATTTTTTTATCAAAAAATTTATTTTTAATTTTTCTTTTACACAGAAAAAACATAGAAAAACTTCTATAAGTTTGGTAATCAATCTAAACCTTAAAAAATACAAAAAACAACCTCAAAACTTGAAATCAATTCAAAAAAATCTTTCCGAGCTTATGTGTGTTTTTGTAGGCATCTTCAAGATAAAACATCTAATTTTAACTCTTCTCATAATATAAATATATTTAACATAAAATTAAACTATTTTAATAACTGAAATCATCATTAATAACAGTTTTTTTTCTCTACACAAAAATCTGGCGGCCTCCTCTTTCTTTTTTATTGAAAAAGAATTAAAAAATAAAATTTAATATCAAAATTGATTTTTTTTAACATTTAGAGAAACTACTAAAAAAAATAAGGAAATAAAATGAACTTTACAAATCAATTTAAAAGACACCTTTTATTTTTTTTATTTTTTTTACTTCAATCCTTTGTTTTTTAATTCAACCATCCCGCCCAAAAAATAAACAACTGGGTTCTAATTTGAATGAAAAATAACTTAATTGTACAAAATAAAAATTCAAAAATTAAATTGATTTTTTTTTTTAAAAAAAAAAATTCAAATAGTGATACGTGAAAGGAGAAACAACAATGAACAACGCTAAAGTAAAACCTCTATCTTTTATAGTTCATCAATCATCATGAATGTTTTAAACACAAATCAGCATGTATTCCGGTCTGTTTTCATGGAATTTCTCATGGCTGTTATTCGGACATATAATAACGACACAAAGGAAATCAATATTAGGGATGGTGATTGAAATTATAAACAAGACAGTGTGTGCTGAAGATGATGTCTTATGTGCTAATGCATGCAAGAGAATAGTTAAATTTATGTTTTGAAAACAAGGAATGGTGTCTGTCTATTGCTTTCTTGGTGACATTGAGCTTAAATGGTCTCCGATCAACTTCATTTGATTGCAACCTGAAAATGAGAGCGAAATGGCAGACAAATACAGGAATATTGGTTAAAGATGAAACTTTTAATGGCAGCACTTTGAATAAAAAATTTACTTCAAATGACGACGATCCAACGCAAGTATCTCTGGTTTTTCTCGCATTATTTGACACACAAATTGAATTTACCAATGAGCTAATCCTGCTGGGCTTATTGTGTAGGGATTTTTCTACTCTCTGAGTAAAAGGAAGACGCTGCAGTCGAGTTTGATGAGACTAGGACTAAATGAGTGGAGGCGCAGCTGAGTGTGAAATGAAATAACTCGTGGGAAAAACAGATGTACATGCTATCATTGAACTGTAGACTGACCACACAAGCAGCCAAGACAGTAATTGCAGAAATTGAAATTTGAGCAGAGAGAGACACCATGGAGAAGAACAGATGTGGAAAGAGAATCCATTGCCAGCCACAGGAATGCCTGAGGGGACAGAATCAATAATAAATACTATGCCGCCTCAAATATCAGCCTCAGACTTAAAATTTCAGAACACGCAAAAACTTCTAGCCCACTCAATATATATACAACATTAATATGAGAAAAAATATGTACATGAACATCTTCGTGTTTTCATGTTTTCCCTTGCCGCTAGACCCTACCCTCGTTAATGCACTTCTCTCCTACCAAGTCTTGAAGTTCTAAAATTCATGTCAGGTTCCTTTCCAGTAAAATTGGTGATTTGAACATCATTTCCACTCAGGAAAGCTACAATCCTCCGCGAACAGCAAACTGTCGCGTTAGGGCCTCGTATTGCTATGTTTGCAGTAATTCTTCACACTGAAAACTACCGTAAAAGATTAACAAAACTATAGGAGAAAAAGCCACTGATGAAAATAATCATGAACAGCAGGGACTTCTAGTTATCTGCTGCGTCCAAAGTGATGTTCATAAATTCCTGAGTCATTGGATATATATATATCAAAGAGTTAAATATCAAATCAATATTCTGATAACAAAACTAACGAAAATACTTAATCAGATTTTATGAATAAGAGTATTCAAAGAAAAAAAATACAACAATACAAAAAAATTAAATTAAATTAAATTAAAGAATACAAAAAATTGATAAAATTGTATTTTTCACATAAGAAATCCTCTAGTTATAAATGAAATAATAATAAAAAAATACTCAAAATTATTGGAAAGTTTTAAGAAATTACTCAGTCACTAAAATTTTAATTTTTTTTTTCAAGGAATTAAAAAATGATATAATTAATGACATTTTTGAAATGGAAAATACAATTCTTTCAAATTAGACCGAAAAGATTTGATAATAAAAACACATTAGAGAATTGAACACTGTACAAGAACATAATAACTAGAATTAAAAACGTTGGAACACAGTAAGCCTTACATCCTTACATTAATATTACTATTATAAAATTAAAATTAAGAGAATAATATGAGAGAAATTAAAATAAAATTACCAGGTAAAGTATACACCATTTCGCTGTAATTTTATTATTATTTTCTTAATTTCTAACATCTAATTTAAAGAATAAAAGGATAAAATGTGACATTAACCCTCTAATTTATCTATTTAATCTGAATTTCGGTCCTTATCATACATCACTATAAGGAGCACGATGGCTCCTTAAATAAGCACCAACCCCATCTTAATAATGCCCTTTAAATTTATTAGTGGAAGCCACTTGAAAAATTAGAAAGTTAACAAATGGCTAATATTTCTCGTCGTCTACTTCGAAAGATGGTCCATGTCTATACAATTTCTTCCGAAAAATGCAATTAATGAGACCCCAATAATAGAGAGATCTTTTTTTTTCAAAAGAAAAATCTATCTTGCTTGATCGATTGAGATAATTTATGAAAAATAATGAATATGTAGCCGTTGATGTTGTTTATATATTAATAGAGGTGAGGTCTGTTCTTTAAGCTCTTGCCTTTAATTTCCTGCTCTTTTTCTCGAGTTTGGGAACGATGGCCTTGGAATTGTTTCTCAATTCTGCATTTGCTCAAAGTTTTCGGTCACGCAGACAACCGTAGAGTCCACAGTAGCGATGTTTTAGCAAGCCCAAA